TATATAACTAGAAAGAAGCGGGGGGGACGAAGGGGGGCGCAGAAGTTTGCGGGGCTGGGTGGCAAGGGAAAAGCGAGCGGCTGACGGGGCGTGTACCCCGCTATATAGCAACTATACAGAGAGAAAGAGCGAGAGAGAATAGTGTGCGCGGCTGGCATGGGGTAGCTCGAGCAGCGACCCACGCGCCAGCAGTAACAGCGCCATCTATACATCCTTGCTGGATTTATGAGCTGTGCACAACTGCGTTACACAGACGTGCTCTCACGTACACACATAGCTACACCACTCACACGAGCGAACCGTGGACACATACATCGCAACACCAGTGCGCTCGGCATCATCCCCCTCCGAGGAAGCAAACGAGAGAAAGAGAGAGAAAGAGAGTTTATTCGCAATTCCAGCTCGGCTGCACGCGATTCCAGTTCGAGCTGTATGTATATAAATGCAGCCGAGTAGTAAAATAAAACAAAACATGGTAAAAACATCGCGTTGCGTGAAAATAAAGTTTGATCGTCGCTGTAGTAGTAGTCGTCGTCCTTGCGGCGTATACGGCCGAGCGTTGCGCGTTCGTTACTCCTTTTCCCTTTAGCGGCGGTGCTGCTGGACCGAGGCGACGGATGGTGGATATTACGGCACGAGGAAATTCCTCCCGGAGCTCCGAGCGTACTTAAGCGCGTATAATATACTTGTATGAATTTCGAATATTTCGCGGATGAACGTGAGAATCGGATGCACGTCGAATGATGAATTATCGCGCTCGCGACTTTTTTCTGTTTTGTAACGCGTTATTTATGTGCTTTCGACCAGCTCGTGCGCTCGCACGTACACACCACATACACTTATACTCCACATATAGCACGCGCTTACGTATATATACGCAAAGTCGCGCGCATGTGTGCAGTACATCGGGGAGGGGGTTTTTGATGGGTTAATTTATGAGCAGTATGGCCCGGCAGTGCTTGTTTCTCTCCTCATCTCGTACTCGCACTCTCTCGTCTTGCTTTTTCCGCCTTTTTTTTCTGTTCGCCGTATACACGATGGCGCATATTATAATGTCGACGCGAACGTGTCTTTATTAGAATATAATAAACACCCGCGTTTCGATCCGAGAAAAATTTTTCGACTCCGATTTTAATATCTGGAACATGCTCCAGATTTTGAAAAAAGGCGTTCGTCATTTATTCGGATGAACGCAAAAATTCGTGAGAAGCTATTTTTGATATTCAAAATTCATCCAATTGATTTATCGCTGAAATGTATAATAATTTCTGAAAATTATAGTTCATTATAATGGGGCGTTGTATGATTCAAGTCTATTTGCGAAAATAACAATCTGTACATGCATACATCAATATACTTCCTTACAATTAGATCAAAATTCAACTTTCTCCACTTCTATTGGCCAGCAATTATTCGCTGTATAACTTTGAGCGGTAAATCCTGCATCCTCGTGCAGGGAAAAAAATGATGCGTTCGATCTCTTTGCGTTAAAAACGTCATAAAACAATAAAAAGTCGGCCGAGCGTCCCCGCGACGGCACTTAAAAAGCAGCAGCAGCAGCAGCAGAAAAGAGATTTGCACATCCATCGAAATCTGCCTCTCTCCCTCTCTTCGGCTTGTACATATGATCTACTCTATGCAAGCGAGAGGATTTGCCCCGCTCGCGTGTACACACGTATAGATATATATATATATATATGGGGCGAACGGCCCCCTCGACGCAGCCGTCCATTCGCACTCTGCAGCTCGTGCAAAACATATAGCTGCGCGCCCGCCGCCCGTGTGTGTACGTAGTTATAGCGCTATTCTCTCTGTACTTCGCGCGCCGTTATACGTATCCCCATCCCACCCTCTCGGCTGGAGCGCGCTTTACGAGCAACCTGTGGTAACGAGAGAGCGATAGATAATAACCGTTGGACGACTACGACGACGTCGACGACGACGACGACTACTACTACTACTGCTGCTGCTGCTGCTGCTGCTGCTACCTCTATACGACCCCCTACCCACCTACCTACCTACTCATCTCGTTCGTTCTCTCATTCACTCGTGGCCCGCGCGTCCTGCTACGTATTTCAACTGTTGCAAGCGTATAACACGCATACCTGAGCTCTCGGAGCGCGTAATGAACTGCCCCGACGCACGACACTTTCTTCCTGTACCTAACGTACTTTTTCTTTCTTTACACTCTCGATCCAGAGAGAGAGGGACAGCTGCAGACTTCGCAGTAACTTCGACGCTCGCTCTATTTTTTCCCTTTAGTATGACTTTTCGTTCTGTACTGTGCCTATGAGTACATGCGATGGTACACACAGCGTCAGAGCAGAGTACGAGCACGATGTGGAGCACCCATCACCAAATTTACAGGTTATCCACACGTCGTATTGCAGCGGAAAGCGTCGTTCGCGCTAAAGTTTTTCCTCGACGCGATGCATCGCGCTGCCCCAGTGCTGCACCGGCTGAGAGTCGTGCTTTGTTCGTGTTTTTGCAACACTGTCGCCGTACACCTCGTGTTTGTTGCTCTTTATGACTTTGTTTTGCAGTGTTGATTGTGTGTGTCTCGTTCCGGGTCGGTTTTTGCCTCTCCGATATTGTGTTCGATGCATTCAGTTACAAGTAGTCACGGTTCGTCGACTCTTTACGTTGTTTTGGTTTTATTTTTCATTTAATTTTACTTACCACCGTAAACTAAATTCGACAATAATCGCTAGATCGAAGAAATTATTATAAAAGGAGCAGATGCTATAGAAAATATTGAAAAGAGTCGTGCAGCACGAGTTCAGTGTTCGACGGGTGGCAACGATAAAAAGAGAGATATCCTCCTTCGTACATCTATATAGTGCCTCTGCAAGTTCGATCCAGACTTATTGCGGTGAAATTGAAAAACTCTTTCTTTCTCTCCGTCGACCAATGCGTCGCTGCCACCAGTTAAACATTTTTCCTTACCGAAATTCTTTCTTCCCTCCCTCTTTTTTTTCTCTACCTTGGACTACGATCTTCAAACGTCATTAAAGCCAGCCTGTTCGGTTACTCATTCTTTCTCTAACGCGAGCTTTTGCAAAATTTACGATGGCTTAAAAAAGTCTCCTCGGAGGCTCTTTTGGAAATCCTGATAAATGCCACACGTTAGAATTCGACTCTGACACGTTGATGCATGCGTTTGCGCGTCATTGCTACACTGTAAATGTTTCATAAATATCTATGCGATCGATTTTCTATGTCATGATCATTGTGAAAATTAAAAAATTTCAAACTCGTGAGGCATTAAATTTTTTCTGTATTATACAATTTTTTTGAAAATATTGATGAAAATATATTTTGTTTAACAATTTCGGCTACCATTTTTCGGAATTGAATGAAAAGTTCTCTATTCTGGGTTTTTGACGACCTCGAAACAAAAGTTTCGGCCAAAAATAACTATATAATCTGCGAGTTACTCTTCGTATTTCCATTTTTACTGCAATCCGAAAGCTATAAAACAAGTTTATGGCGCTGTTTTGAAAAAAAAACTATACTCACATGCGAAGTTAGGGAAAAGTTTGTATTCCATGCTCTGAAAAGCAACACATTGCAAAAAGAATTTCATTAGATGAAAAGCCGGTTTTCTAACTCTGCCTTTTTCACTTGCTCTCTTTTTGTATAGCAGAATCCCATTGATGTAGTCACACTGCCTTTGTGCTTGCATGCTCCGGCATAGAAGGCGAAACTTGAAATAGTGAAAAAGAAGTCGACTGCAGCACTACTGCCACGCTAGTGCACAAAAGTGTATAAAGAAGAAAAGAGCGAGCAACAGAATGAGCGCGAGAGAGATATAATAGCTATGTATGATACTAGGAGAGCTATACACACATGCATATCTAGCGCGACTGAATGTTGCGAGCTTTTCGTCGTTTCGTGAAATAAGACGAAGAAAAAGACAAGTAAATAAAGCAGTAGCAGCAGCAGCAGCATCGCGGCGCACAAGCAAAGGGGCAAAAGGGGAAAGGGAAAATCGCTTGAAGCGACGTAGAGTCATCGTAGTAGTCGTCGTCTGGCTGGAGCTTTTGCCAAGAGTTCAAAATCCCGAGGCGAAAGATGCACAGCTTGCGAGTGCACGCAGGACAAACAACTTTTTCGCTGATGCTCTCTTATGTGTATGCGTGGATGAATTATGGTGTTTCTACTTTCGCAAAAGCACGAGAGCGAGAGAAAGAATATTCGGTCGCGGTCCGTTTGCCTTGCCGTACCGTGTGAGAGAGAAAGAGAGAGAAAGACTCTGCGGGGCAGCAGCAGCAGCAGCAGCAGTAGCAAAAACCAACATGCGGAATTTCTGCGCGTATTATGAACGCAAGAAAAGTCGGCAGTTGGCTGTTAGAATGGCTGATGGAAGGTGCTGAGTGCACTTTTTTTATATTTATATTTTAAAAAATATTCTTTGCGGTTTGACTCATGCTCGGTTCTTTGAAATTAATTCATGAGCAAATATTTACTAGGGATGCACAGCTCGTCGGAAATTGGAAAACGAAATTTTTTTCCTCACACATCACGATGAGCATTCCACGCATATTTTACTTCACCCTCGCTCAAATTTTCGTGAAATATCTTTTACTTGTGGATTTGAACTCCCCTCTCTAGAGCATGCGAGCTAAAGATTCGGAACGTGCATGATACAAGAACGAGAAAAGCCAGTGGCGAGCTTAGTGGCGGTAGTAACACGTGTGTCCATCGCTATTGGTCGAACACGACTCGAGACTTTGAGGCGTGCTGTACCGTTAGCAAAAGTAACACCCGTATTTCGCCAAACTGGCGTAGACAAAGTTCATTTCCCTCCATTGAATATTATACTTTTCATAACTGTTCGTCTTTTTTTTGTATATTGTACAAATATGGAAGAATCTCATTTTATTATTTAGCATGGGTTTTTTGTTCTCGTTTATTTTTTACAAACCTTTTTTGATTCTTAATTTTGATATATTTGCTTATTACGTAGAATTAATGTGGTTAAATTTTCAATGTTGCAGGTGAGTAGCGGTAGGCATCAGCTGTTCTCTAATGCCAAATAGGTATGGATGTGCGTGGCGCAGACACACACTAACCGTCAATAATAGTGTGTCAACTTATCGGTTGCGGCGAACGAATTTATGCTGCACCCGGTGAGTGACGAAGTAACCTCGAAGAAACCCCCGTAGCTCGCAAAGCAAACACTTGGCCAATAGCTTAGTATTTTTTGAAAGAAAAAAAAACCAATTGTCCAACATCACAATCGTCAAACCAATAGTATTACCGTTTTACGTGCCAATTCGGCATTTATCTGATTTATTATTTATTTCACCGCTTGCGAATGCATAAAATGCAGCAACTATTTTATTATTAGATTTATTTTGTTGTTTTGGTTTGTAAATCACGATTAAGTTTATTTTTTACGTAGTTTTGGCAACTGCAAATTTCACTTTTTAGCGTTTCCAAAACCTACCAATCGTATTTATAGATAAATCTAATATTAATTTCGTTGGAGAATTGCGAAGCGATGAAGCTAATATTTTGGGTGAAACGGAATCCATTGTTGTGAATGATTTTGTATTGCGAAATACGGGCATTGTTCAAGTAAATAATACATCGAGATACTCGTGGAACTTGCGGTATAATTAAGGCTGATGTAATATTAATCAATTAAAAAACTATAAATTGTGAAACCTAAAATACGTAAATAGTGCTGAAATAAAAATGAATTTTACAATATAAGTTGCGCTTAGTTTAGTAAAAAAAATAATCTTATTACTATATTTATATATATGGGTCAGATTCAGAATTTTTCAAATAAACCTGCGGGCGAGGTTCACGGATTTTCCTGAAATTTTGGTATGTTATAGTACATGATAAAAAAGTGCCAAAACCAAAATTTTGGACCCCCTCCCCCCTCCTACCCCCCTCCTCCCCTATAGACGTCCATTTTCTATCTATATTTTTTCTGAAGGCCTGAAGCTATTAAAAAATCTGAAAAAATTCATGAAGGTACTTTTCAACAATCCAAACAATCTTGAATTTTTTCAGATTTTTCGAGTGCTTCAGGCCTTCAGAAAAAATCATTGAAAATTTAAATTATTTTATTTTCGGTGAAATGGTTCGATGTACCAGACCGGAGTATTTTTTTCTGAATTCTGACGTCAAAAAACGATTCCTTGAATTTTTTCAGAATTTTTCATTCATGTCCATTCAGCCTAGAGCTGAAAAACCGCTTTTTTTCACGAAAATAATTTTTTTAAGGCGCTACGGAGCCTCAAAAAATCTGGAAAAATTTTTTTCTCATTTTGTTCATCAAAATACATAATCTCAAATTTTTTCAGATTTTTTAATTGAAGGCGATAGCGTCTGGAGCCGAAAAACGTTATTTTTAACAAAAAAGGTTCCTGGAACCCGATGGTTCCGGTAAAAAAATTTGAAAAAATTTTTTTTGAATTCCTTGTCAAATTTTAATAAATTTTGACCGTCGCAAAATTTCGATTGGAGCTTCCTAGCTCATTCTAGAGCATAACAAAGATTAATGCGAAATTCTGAAGACATTCATCATATTTAAATTTTTTTCAGATGTCTTCAGAATTTCGCATTAATCTTTGTTATGCTCTAGAATGAGCTAGGAAGCTCCAATCGAAATTTTGCGACGGTCAAAATTTATTAAAATTTGACAAGGAATTCAAAAAAAATTTTTTCAAATTTTTTTACCGGAACCATCGGGTTCCAGGAACCTTTTTTGTTAAAAATAACGTTTTTCGGCTCCAGACGCTATCGCCTTCAATTAAAAAATCTGAAAAAATTTGAGATTATGTATTTTGATGAACAAAATGAGAAAAAAATTTTTCCAGATTTTTTGAGGCTCCGTAGCGCCTTAAAAAAATTATTTTCGTGAAAAAAAGCGGTTTTTCAGCTCTAGGCTGAATGGACATGAATGAAAAATTCTGAAAAAATTCAAGGAATCGTTTTTTGACGTCAGAATTCAGAAAAAAATACTCCGGTCTGGTACATCGAACCATTTCACCGAAAATAAAATAATTTAAATTTTCAATGATTTTTTCTGAAGGCCTGAAGCACTCGAAAAATCTGAAAAAATTCAAGATTGTTTGGATTGTTGAAAAGTACCTTCATGAATTTTTTCAGATTTTTTAATAGCTTCAGGCCTTCAGAAAAAATATAGATAGAAAATGGACGTCTATAGGGGAGGAGGGGGGTAGGAGGGGGGAGGGGGTCCAAAATTTTGGTTTTGGCACTTTTTTATCATGTACTATAACATACCAAAATTTCAGGAAAATCCGTGAACCTCGCCCGCAGGTTTATTTGAAAAATTCTGAATCTGACCCATATGTATACATATATATTTATACATAATCGAGGTGTAAGTTCTTAAGAGTAAGCTGAATTTTGCTTATATTCGACATCATATATTATATTATACGAAAAGCCGTGTGCGAATTTTTGTGTACAAATCTTTTTCCTTTTATAAATTTTTGTATTCGTTAATTTTTTAATACTATCGTTTCGAATATTCGATATTTTTATTATCATTATGATTAACATTAATTATTAAATTATTATTATTACTATTATTATTATTATTATTATCATTATATCTGCTATAAGAAAAGCAATTGAAAGTGCAAGTATGTATATGTTCGCAGTTATAAACGAGCGTTTTTTTAGCGATAAACGTGATGACTGCTGTTGATGTTATATTTTTGTTATTTTTATTACTATTATGCTCTTAATACGATCTTGAGTTTCAAAAATGCGCCTTCATCGCGTTACTACGAATCAATTAAATTTTTTTAGTGCTAGTGCAATGAAGACGCGTTCTTCAATCGTGATCGTTTAAAAAATATATATTATGTGGTCGACGAGAAGCTATGACGTAAAAAATATATATGTATATGAAAAATTATATACGTGTTCAAAAATTTTGTTATTATTGTATGATGTGAAATATATCGATGTAACTGCTCAGTACCTGCTATTAAGGTATAAATTATCATATACATTTCAGTTGGAATAATGCGCAGCAAAACTTAACAGAAACAATATGAAAATAATTCCTTTTTGTGACATTCTTTTGTATTTCTTAAAAAAAACGAGAGTTTACGGATTAAAGTTACAAAAATAAACAACTAACAAAATAAAGATATGTGAAATATTTAAGAAAAAAAATATGAACGAATGCTTGACTGAGTGTTGAACTTCGAAAGATCGAGTTAAAATAATTCTATTCTAGTTAGAAAATGTATACGATTAGCGATTAACTAAGATAATTAAAATCAATCGATGCGATACTAGCTGAAGATCATAATAATAATTACATTGAAAGTCGCGTCACGAGTGACTGCAGTATTTCTTAAGCTTATCATAATGTAATGATTTGTAAGCATTAAAAAAAAAATATTTTGTGGATCTCCTTACGAATTTTGTGTTAAAACGCGCTTTTCACTTTGTACTATATCGGTTAATTTATAAGTGACGACTATCTGTCGTGACGTGAAATATAATATTCCGGTGAATTAAAAAAAAGCAACTAAAACATTGCGCGTTAGTTACGCGTAAAAACTATATTGCTATGAAATAATATGTACAATATAGCCGTGTTTCTCTTCTCTTTTTCTCATATTACATAAATATAAGTAAATACTCCTTCCGTCTTTTTTATCGATTGTCTTTCGCGATCATTTAGTAGCTAATAACATTTAATAAGAATGATAATAATAATAATTATAAACTAAACGCGTGAAAAATATTATTTGCTACAAAATTTTTTTCGGTCATATGATATTGTGATTTTTTGTAAAATAGTCCGAGATTAATATATAATTAAATTATATAAGCCAAATTTTGTGTCGGTGTGAAATTCGAAGAATGTGACGTGTATTATTATGTGTATAATTTGAAATTAGAATATGCGGGGATACTATTGAACCGTAACATGAAGCTTTTTTTCGTTTCAATTCAATTACGATGAATTGAAAAGAACGTAAATTTAAAGTCAAATTTGTTCTATCGAACGAATATTATATCGTTCTGCGATTTTTGTCATTGTAAACACTATACCGATTATATGATTGCTATAAAATGATAAAAATGAATAAATACGATTCTAATACGAATCATTAGAAAAAATTCATTGGCTTCCATTTTTTGTACGTCAACAGTATCCTTATTTTCCTACCAAATTGATCCCTTAGAAATCTTTCTGCTTTCGCTTGTCATACGCAAAGATAATAATTTTTTTTTTTTAATTTGCTTTTTATAATTTATAGTATTGTGCTACGTATTACAAAAAAGTTTCATTTTTTTTACTTAAAACTTTGTTTAATTTTTTTGAAAATACAGAAAGATAACTTCTGTGGCACACAACGTGTTTTCACGTAATAATTTTCAAGCAGACACAGTTGTTCGAAGCTGTTCGGAAGCCATTACACGTTAGAAGTGCCACATGCTGCGAGTCTCGAGTAGCTTCACTTTGCTGCTGCGCGTCGAAGGTAAGCTCCGCGCTAGAAAGGCCGGCAACTTTTTGCGGCGAAACTTCTGTTTCTCATCAAAAACTTAGGAATACGGCAGTCGTGCCACACATTATTCTAATACATGCCTTGCCACTTGAAGTATTACCCGGCGCCTTGTCGAGGAAGTTCTTGATCTCTTCCTGCCGTGCTGCACCATATAACTACGGCGCGCTTTATTCTATTTCTCTCGCGTGCTGCTCGTGGGCTCGACGGAAAAAATTCCTTACGCTTAGCCAGTGATTTCGGCCATCAAGTGCGAGAGGATCGTCTTGCGGCTATCCGCACGCGTGCTACCGAATCTGTGTTTCTCGGATTCTCCGGAAAAATCATACTGTTTCAGGAAGGACATAATCAAAAGTGGTCGGATCGTTTATCTTACGAGCTGCTACTATACGTACACCCGGTAGAGGAAAAATAAAAGAAAGGTCCAAAGATATACTGGTTTGATATACAGCTGATTGAATTGTCTATACTCTTGTGAAATAGTAGAAAAAAATTTGATCAACGGCAAAACAGCAATAACCATCAATACGATGGTGCTCGACTGACCTGCCGGGTTAGTATATATATATTTTTTTTTACCGAGTAAAAAAAATACCCGACCAGATTCTTGTCTCGCTTTTATGGAGTGAGAAATCGTTCGTTTCACGCGTTATCTCTCCTAGCGGTGACGTTACGATGTCGTATTCACACATACATACACACACATACACACACATGGCGTATGTACATCTACATTACATATACAATCGTTTGACAAGGACAATACGTGCGTAGCTCTCTTTACGACTCTTAAAATCAGAACGTGCAATCGTGCGCGAATCTTGCTCTATCCGAAGGATCGATTCGCTCGGAACTACATCAACTCGACTCTCTCTCTCTCCGTATATCCCTTAACGGCCGTTACACACAGTAGCAGCGGCAGTGGCAGCAGATACATAGAAAGCGTGGTAAGCTCGCAAGCACGCGATATTAATATGTTATTGCGGAAAGACGTTCGCTCATGAAAGTCGACGAGGCAGCAGCAGTTGTATCGGCCAAAATATGTCTGTATTGACCCTTGCTCGCTAGCATAGCTTCGTGCATGTGTATACGTGACCCCTTGGAAAGAAATTTGGAGCAGCGAGCGAGAGAGGGAAGAGAGAAGGAGAGCAAGGGATGTGCTTGGCCTACGGATGCACACGAT